TTGGTGTTTGTTTTACTTTTTCCCTAAAGCCATTGTTTATGATTATATTTAATTCCCAACCATTTTTCTTTAATATGTTTGTGTGTGAGTGAGTGAGTGAATGAGAGAGAGAGATATGAATGTTTAATATAACCTTTATTTTGTGAGTTAAATATTTAACCAGTGAGAAAGTTGTTTTTCTATTGCTGCCTTGTAGATCAGATGATATGTTATGTTTTCCAGAAAGAATAAAATCAATATTCTGAATATCTTGAATGATTCACTAACTCTCATTGTTTTACAAATTAATGAAAACAGTTTTATTGTCAAAAAGATCAAAGTATTTTTTGAATTAAATATTAAAAAAATACAGGATTAAAAAAATTGAATTAAATATTACATTTCTTAATCCCTTTTAGAACATTTGGAATTTTGAATGAAAATCTTGTTTTTTCTTGCATCAGCAGATGTACTTAGTGGCAGACTGGGTGTGGGGTGCTAGGTGGCACTTTATGGAGGCGGAATTTTGCAGGTGAAAAAAAAATTGAAGATGCGATCATTCATTTTTATGTTTTGGTGTTTCAAAAAAAATCTGATATTTTGTTTTTTTTAATTCATTTTTTTTCACATTCTTTTTGTTTGGAAGATCACAAACACATGATATGGCATCCTGTTGATGACCTCAGCTTTTAATAAGCTCAGGTGACTGTTTGAGAACCCACTCACATTCTGATACTTACCTGGCACAGGGATCCATCCCTGTGCTGATGGTATCATGGCTACAACTCGTTTAGACCGGCTGTGACCAGCTTGGACAAGCTATGACCAGTTAAGATCACCTTGGACCAGTGGTCCGAGTGAAAACACTCAGGCCCCCACATTAAATACTGACCTTGTGTCACAACCTGACTCAACAGGGGGTCAAGTAAATATCTGCTTTGATCTGGCCCTGCTGTGAGCAATTTCTTGCTGAGACTACAAGACCACACTGGGTTGTAGTGGAAAGTTTTTTAATGGTGTTGACGGCACAAATCAATCCATACAATTTTTTACTCTATGAATATGTTAAGCAAAATGCAAAAACAAGAGGAAGCAACAAGAAAGATTTGTGATTGAAGACAAAAGACAAATATTTGAATAACAAGTAATTTTCAATGTATTTTTTGTAATGAAAATATTTTACAAAAATATATTTGATTTTTTTTTTTCAGGTGAAATCTTGTTAGTTATGTTGAAGTCAAGTTTGGTGAAAGATTAAAATTTGTTAATGAGTTCTAATTTGAAAGGTTGTTTGTTCGAATCTGTTATAGAAGATTCTGTAAATTAAGTGCAAGAGAAAAAATTTACTGTTTATTTATAAGTAGTAAAATGCTTATAAAGTTGAATGCAATTTATAATCAAAGAAGTACCTTTGATTGTTTTGTGCAATACAATGTTCTCGAATGCAGAAAAAATGTTTTTGAAAAATATGATTTGTTAGTAGGAATTTGTTTAACTTCTGTGTAAAGGAATTTGGTGAGTGAATAAGAATAAAGTTCACTGATAAGTTTTGATGAGTGAGTGTCAATATTGCAAAGTTGTATAATGTATGTATTTAATGAAAAAAACTTAAAATTGTGTGTAATTCTCACTGGCATGTGAATGAGTTTGTGTAGAATTGCAGTTCTACAGGGTCATTCTGAGAGACGTCCCTGCTATATTGTACAAACAATATATATATATATTTGACCCCCCACCCCACCATGTTTTTGTATTTTGATCATCAACCTAAAAAATTTTTGATTGTTTTTAAATTATTTTTAATAATGGTATTTATAAAATAATTTTATAATGAATAGCTTCTTTGATTTAAAAAACCTTGAGAAAATATTTTTTTATTACTTAACAGAAGGGTTTCAATATTTGGTCATCTGAATAAAAAAAAAAAAAAAATTCCAATCACTAATTTTTACATTTCTAGAAAGATCAAAAACGAGAAGACCACATATAAAAAAGAACTTTACGATGTGAACACCCTGGAAAAGCTATTTGAAAAAAAATTTAATTTTGTTTTTAAAAAACTCAAAAAAGAATTTTTATACCAAGATTTTTTCTGGTGGAGTTTTGAAAACAATGTTTTTTCTTTGGTATGATCCAAAAACAAATTTCCTCTGATGCAATTTACCTACATTTTAATTCACTTAAAAATTTTACAGTGAATTTTGAAAGCCTTCTGCCTAAGATGAAATATTTGTAATTAAATAAAGATTTATTTAATCTATCTAAAAATGTATGATTAAAACTTTCCAATGTAGGATAGCATATTTTCCGAGATTTTAATTATTAAGATTTAACTAACATATTTAAAAAAATTTACGAACGATTTTTAATTCAGACTGAAGTTGTTTGAAGAAATAAAAAAAAGTCGTCTTCTTTGAAGTCTTAAGATTTTTATAGGTAAAAATAAAACTGCTCTTTTTTTTTTTTTTTTAAAGTTGTGCTCCTTCCCACAACCAGAGGTCTTTGGGTGGAAAATTAAAATTAAAAATAAAATATCGCATCTTTTCAAATGCTTTTGCTAGATTATAATTTATATTTTTCTTTTATTGTCTATGAGGTTTTAAAATATTTGCTTTATTATTATGTTTAATTAATAATTTGATTAATTGAAATTTCTGATATTTTTTTCTACATATCACAGGATACTTATTAGATTTAAGAGCAAAATCATTGAATCAAAATAAGGATTGTAGTTGATTTTGATAGTAAATGATAACGCACATGGGCTTTAAGAAGTATTTGTGTTTTATTATTGTTTTTTTTTGATTTTTTTTTGTTTTCCAATGATGTTTACTCGTGAGTTGGTGGTGCCAATCCTGGAACAGACCACCATATACACTCAGAGCACCTACACACAGCATTGGACTGAACAGTTATCCTTGGTAAAAACCTGTTAACAATAAAACATAAGTTTAAGGTTTTTTTTTTTTTTTTAATAATTGAAACATTTTAGAACAAAATAGCCTTCATTTAAATTTAAAAATTAGGAAGAGGCTATTTTGCCGGTCCCTGCACAATAACGACTCCCTCATTATTTATTTATTTTTTAATATAACTGCTATGGCATTATGAAAGAAGTCTAAACTATTTATTCATAAAAAAACAACAGTTTACTTATTTGGTTATCTTCAAGATACACAATCCTCAAATTTTCAGCTTATTTTTTAAGGAATGTTCTCTTCATAGAAAGCAGCAGGAGCCAGCCTCATACGCTCTTTTGATCTGCCTTTTTTCAGGAAATTCTGAAATAATTGATTTGTTTTCAATTCATTGTTAAAAAAAAGGTTTTCAAAGCTTATTAAAAAAAAAAACCTTCATTGATATATATTCATTGAAAAATGCCCAAATTAATTTATTGTAAAAGAAAATTATTTAAGAATTCAGATGAAAAACAAGTATAAACTTGTTTTTCATCTGAATTCTTGTAATTTTTCATTTTTAACAAGTTTCAAAGAAACTTGTTGTCATTCTTGTAATTTTTCATTTTTAACAAGTTTCAAAGAAACTTGTTAAAAATGAATGTTATTTTTCTCTTTTCAATCGGTTCTTTTCGTAGAAAAATATTGGAGATGTTTTTAAATAAATAAAAACATTTGTAGTAAAGTAGAAACAGAAATATACGTAATTTAAAGTTTGTTTACATTTCGAAAGTTTTTACTAAACTTGCAATTTTTAAAGCTCAAAAACTGTATATCACGTTCTTCATAGATTTCAATAGATTTTCCATAAAATCACTATTTTAGAATTATTATGTGAAAATAACATTCTACTACATTAAATTTTTCAGAGATTTTTAAAGTAAACATTTTCAGAAAAATCAAATCTAGTTAATATTACATGATTAACTTTTTATATTAGTATTACAAACTAAGAATCTAAAGTTGGTAATAAAAAGGTAAGTTAAGATTATTTAGATTAAAACTTTCAAATATTATGCTTTAAAGTCTCCTGGAACGATTTTTAAAATATTTTTAAACATTCATTTAGGATCAACTGTAGAATCTCCAATCCAACTCAACTGTAGAATCCCCCAAGTACATCTAGAGGAAAGAGATACTTCAATTGATCCAAATTATATTTTTTTACATCAATAGAAACACAAAAAATATTAAAAATTTATTTCTTAAAAAAACAAAGTTAAGTCAGCAGTGTAATTATTTAATATTGACTTTTAATGTTTATTGTTTTAAAAACATTATTTTAAAATACAAATATTTTTTAAATAACCAGCTGAACTCATAAAAATAAATATTTCTGTCCTTATTAGTTTAATTTCAGTACCATCTTTCATAACGCCATAAGGTTAAAAAAAAAAGATGCCAGCAAAATAATGAGGGGGTAGTTACTTTGCCTAAAAATTAGTTCTCTGGAGAATAAGTAAATGTTTATTGAAGGTGAACATTTCTTATAAAATTTTAATGATTTTTAATACAAATGTTCAGTTATTTTTATTATGACCATTACTATGAACTAAATTTTAAATTATTATATTCAAGATAAGAATGAAATAAAAAGGGATAAGAAAAATGTATAAGAAAAAAAAAAGGATAGTAAATTTTAAAAAGTGAATTTAAGAAAAAATTTAAACAATCATTGGCTGTATAGGATAAACACGTGTAATTATTTACTTCTATTTTTAAGCAACACTTCCCTATGCCATTATAAGATACAAATAGGTCATGAATTTATTTAGCTAAGTTTGGGATAGTTAAAAAATTATCAACCTTTTTTACAACCCCACTTTCAGCTTTGTGCCAAATTGTATCTTAGTACATTAAATAAAAATTCCCTATGCCATTGAGTATGCTCTTTTCCTATTTGATTCTTTTTTTTATTTTTCATCAAAAACTGAGTGTTGCGATTTACCGCAAGTTGAAAGCTACCAGAGAATGTGATGTGCTGCATCTTTACATTTTTTCCTACAGAAGAAATATGTAACTAAAGCAAAATGCAAAGATGAGGATGCTGAATATACATCAGAACTAGGAGGGGAGAAACATGGAGAAAATGCAAATATGATGGAGACAAATATAGAAATAAAAATTGTTAAAGAAATTGAAGGTGACAATGATGTGCCAAAGGAAGAAACCTCTAGCACATGCAGTAAGGACAGGTATGAATATGAAGAAGAAACTGATGAAGTTCATGGAAGTAAAGAAATAGAACAGGCAAACATAGTGATTGGTGTGTACAAAGACATCGCATTTTGGCTACAGACTTGCTCAGGGCAGTTGCTTGTTGATCATTGGTACCTAAAAAGTTTCAAAACAAACATAAACCATTTGCTCTGACTGTAAGACTGAGGAAAAAAATAGTCTGGGGGTAATGCTACAACACTGGTTTTACAAAACTATGGAGAATGGAGAGACTATTTTGAGATCATGGTCACTGTTATTATTAAGACAAACAAATCTCTTTGTTTCTGTTGTCGCCTCTCCCTGAAGACAGAGCAATGCAAATCAAGTCTAGCAAGAAATCCAGGATTTCAAATCTGCCTGAAAATGAAAATTCATCTGACCACCAAAGAGCTTTCAAGGAATGGAAGATGTTGGAAATGACCCTTAATAAAGGTAAAATTCTTGATAGTAAATTACAAGAACAAACTATGAAAGAAAGACAGATTTGGAGAAAGGTTTTAAACACAGTTACTTGATGTTGTGAAGTTTCTGATGAAACAGAACCTGCCTTTTAGAGGTCATAGAGATGTATATAGTTCTAATAAAGGAAACTTTATAGAACTTGTTGAACTTATGAGCAAATATGATCTTGTTTTTGAAAAGCATTACTTGAAAGTAGTAAATGATAATCGGTGATACTTGTCACTGAAAATCCAAAATGAATTCATTCATATCTTACGAAACCACGTAAAGGAGACTATATTGGATTGAATTTGAAAAGCCAATTATTTTGCGATCATACTAGACAGCATGCCGGACATTTCTCATACTGGTCAGGAGTTTCATTTGTTCATATGTTGTTGTTGAAGACAAAGAAGTGGAAGTGCGGGAATCATTTCTTGGTTTTATCACAAAGCATGGGAAAACAGCTTATGATATCAAGAATATTTGGATCAACTGGAGAAAGAGAAACTTGATTTCAAAAAATTTAGAGGGATAGGATTTGACAATGTGGCTAGTATAGCTGGAGTTCATGGTGTTCAACATCATCAATGAAAGATAAATAGGAAAGCTAAATTTATGCCATGTTCTAATCATAGTCTGAATTTATGCAGTGTTCTTGCCTCAGCCATGAATGCAAGGGACATTACATTTTTGTAATTAAGATTGAGAAACTATACATTTTTCTCCTCTTCCAAAAGTTTTATCTTTGCATGTGAAGGTCATGATGAAGTGTTTGGTAACCACTCATTGGAGTGCATGTTACAAAGCTATTCGTACAGTGAAAACCAGATTTCAAGGAGTGATTCAGGCATTCGATACATTAACCCCAGCTTCAGAAAATCTTCAAACAAGAGGGGATGCACAAATCATTTTGCTTTCGATTGAAAACTTCTCCTTCATGTCACATTTGTTTTACTAGGAAGAAATTCTGGGACAAATAAATCTCATCCAAAAGAAAATTCAAGAACCTGGTATTGGTTTGGATGTATGTGTAACACATGTTAATTTTTTTTTAACAGAAACAGGGTCAGGCTGGTGGGTGTCTGAATCAGTTAATCAAAGTAAAACAAAGTGCAAAGAAATGGAAATTCCAGTTGAAAAGCAGATTAGAAAAAAAAATCTACCTGGGGAAAAGGAAGATGATGTGTGTCAAACACTTGTGCAGGAAGTAAAGAGAAATCTTTACGAATGTCACGATCGACTTGAAAATGAACTGGAAGCATGATTTGACTCCATGTTTATCTGCAAACTGTCTTTGCTGGATTATCATCACAAGCAATGCTGGAAGATACTGAAGGCAAGTTGGAGTGAAAATTTAAAATTCTTAGTAGCAAATACAGTGTTAACTTAAATGTATCTAAGCTGCTTTTAGAAGTTCTCTGACTTTGGGATTTTTTAGCAGCAATTTCCAAAGTGGAATGCAAATTTTAGCATCTTTTTTGCGGTTAAAATTAGGAAATTCTTGGAAAAATCAATTAATAGTTGGAATTTAATGAAATTTCAGAACTTATTCAAAAATGAATGGAATTATTTTAGAAATGATTTTTTTTACAAAGTCTTGGTAAAAAGATTTTTTTTTTAACATGTGTTTTTCCTCACTTAATTTTATGAAAATTTGAGAAATCCAGCAATATAACTTTTAGTGAATATATTAGTTAAAAACAGAATTTTTTGAAGAATTTAAATCATTAATTTTTTTTGCTGTAAAAATCAGACCCCATCTTACCAAAAATCTGCTCTGAATTGTAAAACAAAAAATGTATTTATTACATTTTTTGTTTTACAATTCAGAGCAGATTTTTGGTAAGATGGGGTCTGATTTTTACAGCAATTGCTTTTATGGATAACATATTAAGGACAATATTGTCTAAAGAAAAAAGATTTTTTTTAAGAAAAATTAATTTTTACAAATTTTATGAATACAGTCATCCATAAATGACATTATCAGAAAATAAGAGTGACAATTATAGTAAATTTAGAGCCAAAATTCTTTAAAATTCAATAAAACATTAGATTACAGAATATTTTCTTAAATTTTTAAGATTACTGAGTACTTAAAAGGCTCTTGCGTTATATTCCTCAATTATTTTTTACAGTTAAAGCCCCCATAGAACAACATTAGATAAAAATCTGTCATCGAGCTGTCACAGAGCTGTTAAAAAACTGTCAACATAAATAAACAAACTACCATCATGTTGAAAAATGCATTTCTGCTATATTCTAAACTTAAACTAAATAATAGTTGCTTCAAATCAGATTAATTATACTTTAAATTGGCTAATATTTCTCAAATAAAGTTTCAGAAATGTATATTTTATTTTTGAAAGATTTTTTTAATAAAGAGATTTACATTTTTATAGGAGTTTGATAAAAATGGTGTTAAATTCAAAAATTTTACAAATTTCAAAATGAAAATTCCTTTCAATCAAATTAAATTAGTTTTAAAATACAGCATAGTCTTTTGTTTATTGGAAATATTAAATTTAATCTATCAGCTTGAAATTAAAACTAAAATAAAAGCTTCCAGAGAGATTTTTCATTATTAAAAATTCATCTTAAATGTTAGCTATTGCATTTTTGTAGAGGTATCTAATTTATACAAGTATGAAAAATGAGTATACAAAATACAAAATAATTTCATTTTTCAAAATCTTTACAGAATAATTTTCAAAACAGCTTTTATCATTAAAAGAATTATCTATTTATTTCCAAAAATTAAATTTTATAAATTTGTGGCTTCATAAATTTCCAGTTTTTCAAAACTAGATTCTTATAATATTAAAGCATATAAAATTTTTTATTTATAAGCATATGGACACTGATAAAAAATTAAAACAAAAATCAAATTTCAGTAATTTAAATCTTTATGTATATACACACTTTCCATATTAAAATTAATCAAAAAAATCATCAACATCAATACCAGGCTCCAATAAATTTTCTTTAAAACATGACAAGTCCATTTGGTTAAGAATTAAATTCTCAAATGTCTCCTCTAGGTCTGTCTCTCCAATTAGAATGGCTCCTTGCAATTTGTTATTACTCAGCACAACTTTCACAAATTCATCTGATAACAGAAAAAATAGAAACACAAAGAATTTTATGTAATTGTAAATTATTTAATTACTGATTTATTTTATAGAATACTTAAAGAGTAAGAAGATAAAAAATTTTAAGTTCATCTTAGAGGATAAAGTGAAGTGTGAAAAGAGGTTCTCATGTGATTGATTAATACTACTGATTTTAAAAAAATCATACTTCATGTATGAAAGTTGAATGAAAAGGAGATTAAAAATCAACATATATTTTTTAAATTTTCTGACCATAAAACAGCAACAAGAAATGGTACTAAAAATTAAATACAACAGAGATACTGATCATAAAATAAATAGATTGATGATGCTCTGAAATGAAGTGAAATCATTTAAAATTTCTATTTGTTAGGTTTTTATTATAAAATACAATTGGATAAATAGAAAAAAATAATGTAAAATTAAAAAAATACATTTTTTTATATATATAATATATATATATATATATATATATATATATATATATATATATATTTACCTTATTTTTTCTATTTATCCAATTGTATTTTATAATAAAACCTAACAAATAAAAATTTTAAATGATTTCACTTCTAATTAAAAAGTTAATTGAATTTTCAATTTTCTATTCATTAAAATGAAAACAAATAATAAAATATTTAATGCACAAAATAAACTGAATTTCCCAAAATAGATTTACCTTCTTCTACTCTTAATAACAATTCATAATTATTACCAAGTCCTTGTGCATTGTATTTTCCAAGAAGAACAACCTGTAAAAATATTTTTATTTTGAAAATTAATAAAATTGAAAAATTATTATGAATTAATGAGGCAAAACCTTATGACTAGTGACACATGGGAAGAATGACAGCTACTGTTTTATAACAACTGCACATGTCAGAGCATGTGAGCCAGCTTTAATTCATTTTGATGTATTGAATATCAAAGTTATGAACAAGAAAAAGATTCCAGTTATTTTGATAAAGTCCAAATTGTTGTGGACATGGTAATTGCAAAATAGAAGTTCTCATATTCAGTTGTGAGGAACTATTGACAGTAGTCTCAGGAGAGAAATCCCTAACTATGGACAAGGTATTGGGAGAGTCAAGACATCAATGCACATAGTAAATAGATACTTTCCTCACCAAGTACAAGCCAACAAAATAGCTACTGTGGTCTAAATTACAGATAGTTTAATCAAGGTGAGGATTGAATTACACCACAAAATATAATGATCCTTGTTATATATAGTACTATATAGATACAGACTTATCAAAGTAGCTATTGCACCAATATCTGTAACTGAATGCATTTTCAATACAATCATCAGAAGCTGACCTTGCCTTAATGAAAAGAAAGTCACTTGGTCCTTAGTATAGTGCATTATTTTTATGGAAATGAATGCTCTGGTTAAAAACAGGGTAAAGTAGTTTGATGGTTTGGGCAACATTCTACTAAGAATTAATGGGTCTTATCTTGTGAAAGGGACTATCATGTATCATCTGTTTCAACATCATTGAAAAGCAGTAATATCTTTCAACAGGATAATGTCTTCTGCCACACTGCATGAGTTGTACAGAAATGGTTTCATGAAGAGGCAAGTGACCCTAGTTACTAAATTCTCTAGTCCCTAACACTTATAAAATAGGTAGAACCAACAAATCCATTCTACACAAATTTTACAATGTAGCCTGTAACAGTTAAAGAGTCCACTGTTAATATCCTGGAACTAGATCTCTGTGGTAAATATGAAACAAAAATAACTCTTTTTTTCACTGTTTTCAAATTCACAAACTTGTGCAAAAATTTATTTTGATCAATAGAAAAAGGCTGAAGAAAAGAACAAGGCAAAGTTTAACAAACCTACATGAAAATTTATTTCAAAAAATGAAAAAAGGAGCAGTTTACAAACTGAGAAAAAAGTAATGAGCCAATGTCAAATCACATTTTGATATAAATAGGCAGAGAAAGTTGAATTAAGTCAGAGAGGCAGAGAGAGAAAAGAAGCAGTTTCATGTGTCTGAATAACACTGGTGTCAAATTACACACTGATACATTATCAGCCTCTAATGAGAGCAGGGCAATTTCAAAGAACTTTATTCAACTCCAAAGCTAAGTACCTTAAATATATATCTTTTCATTCATGTTGAATACAACTATATAACTCTTATGTGAAAAACAAACTCTCTCAATTTGTTTTAAACATTTTGGAATATTACTTTGTGTCCGATGATTTAACATGAACATTTTCTCTTCTTGACAATTCATTAAAACTACAAACTTTAAATTACTTTTCCTGAAACAAGCTAATAACAATTTCAAATGTGTAAATTTGTAAATAAGTACCTTATTTTTTTCATTAAATATAACACATGTGTTTCCTTGTCATTATCCGTCAATACTTCATCTCCAAAATATTAGTCTATGAACAATTTATCCCAAATAAATGAAATCAAATATTAGTTTCTAGCCCGATTCTGTAGGATCTGAGAAAATGAACACTATGCTTTTTTAATTCCAAAACTACATTTGGTAGAATATAACTGGATTAATTGAAAACTATGATGAAATAGGAAACTAAATGTAGTACATTGAGTACTTTTTTGCACTAGTAAATAATTAGATGTTGTGTATAAAATGAAGAATATCATTTAATTTGTATTTTTAATTCTCAATTTCTACTACATATATAAATTTTTATTTTATTTCACAAAAGAGAAAATTGCAGTAAATTCAGTAGAAAAACTTTGAATTTAATGTCATGCTTTATACCAATTCTTTTCCATATAAAATTAAGTTGGTAAATAATAAATCTATATTTTCACTTAAGTAAAAATTTTTAACTTAGGTTAAATCCTATTTCAAGTATAAATTCGATCTCTTAGATATAATTATAATTCACTATGTTTAAATTATAATTAGTATGAGAATAAATAAAAAAGTTACTTTATAATTGAAGAATTTGGTGACATGAGCAAACAATTCAAAGCAAAAGTCCATAGGTATTTCCATTTTTTTTTCTTCAGCAATCATACACTTTGCTGCATATGCCCCCATTTGTCGAGCTTGAGTCCAAAGTCGCATCTGAATAAATAAACCATACATTAATAATACATAAAACATGTTTCTCTTTATTTTTGTTTCAGTTAACATTTCAAATAAAGCAATTTGTAAAGCATTTTCATTTGTTTTTAAATCATTAGCTGATAATAATACACTTTACAACATAAATGACAAAACCAACTGAAATAAATCGATAAAAAAAGAAGAATCAGTGATATATTTATCTTTTTATTTTTTTCTTTTCTTTTTCAAAATTTTCTTAAGTTAAATGATGATCAATTTCATTAATTTACAGACTTTAATACTTTATATTATTGTGTGCCTGATACATTAAGTTATTCAGAATAGGATCCTCATCTTGGTTGTTTTAATGTTTCAGCTACTGTATCGTGTATTTTTTAATAATTCATAATTGATAACATTCAGTGGGTTTTAAACTGAACCCTTTATTTAATTCATAGAGAAGATTCTTCTCATTCTACTCTTTTTTGCATAAGCTAATTTTTCCTAATGATACTGATTTTGTTTTTATCAGGAACCACTACACATATTTTCATTGTCTAACCCAAATTTTTGAACTCATAGGAGTCAACTGTAGTTAGTATCATTGAATCAATGTAAATGATCCTACAATTAGCTGTATAGTATGTGCTTTGCCAGGGCCACAGTTTTGAATTCAGAGTTTTCCTTCTAGACCAGTTGCCAACCAAGGTTTATAGAACCCAGTCTGTCCTACTATTTACTAATAATCACAAGGTAACTAGATGCACTTGGCCAATTATCCCATAGGACATGCAAGTATTGGATTTTTGGAGTCTGAAACTTAATATCTGAGACTACTTAGGTTATTAGAGACTAGCATGTGTACCGATTCTTTCATTTGTCATAAGACAAATGAAAGAATTGATGCACATAGTTTTCTACGATTCTAATTTAATTCCACAAGAGTTGGTCACCCTGTGCTTTTCCTTTACACATAATCAGTCATGTTTGATTTCATAGTCTCTTCACAGATTACAGCTTTCTGATTTTGTTTAAGCTTTAGTCAACAGCTAGTCTTGCCATTGTATTTACCACCACAATTGTATGGAATAGTAATATTTATTCTGCAATTTATAACAGAAATGTGGCACAAGGCCGAAATAGGGGAATGGGGAGAGGACGGTCTTCTTCTGTCTTAGTTTTAACTTAGCTAGCCGCAGACACTGACCCAATTGTACTAATAATATTCCTTACACCAAAACAACGACGACACGTAACTTTCAAACTACAAACACCATAATACCTCGTCGTCTCTATGAAAAAAACTAACTAAACCCCATATATACAATACAATGTCTGTGAGGGGAGGGAAATATAACAATAATTCTAATAATTATTGTATGGAATAGTACACACACAATTCTCGGCCTTGTTCTCTTCTGACATAAATAAGATAAGGACACCAATATAAATAATCTAATGTATCATACTGATAATTCCTTACCGCAGAAATTCATAAATAAATTATCAGATCAATACAGACTTAATTTGATTAAAATTGAGATGATCATAAAATCTTCAACGAAACCATTTAACATCCTCAACAAATGCAGAGACCTGATACAGATTCTACTCAGTGTAAATATTAAAACATTCCTCAATTCCAGATCACAAATGAACACAGAAAAGAATAAAGCATTTGTTAGAGAAAATCTGTTATAATTGATGATGAAACAGGATGAATTCTCCAACTGAATAACATTGCACAGATAAAATTACAATGCCAAGTCCAACAAAGGAAAAGGATCAAGACACTCTAAATATGGAAGCTAAAGATGTTTAAAGATTTCAAAATATGCTCTAAGGTTCAGCATCAAAATGTAAACTGTATGAGTAAGGCTAGTTGACATTATTATGAACTGGATTGAAAATCTTATTGAGTTCAAATGGTACAGCAGTATTTGTGCAGCTTCCTGGTGAGGCCAGTGTATGAAGGTGTTATTTATGTATGTCAGGCATAGTGTTGGCTTTAATGGTGTCATTCCTGAAGACACTTCCTCAAAGTATTCCATGATTACAAAAAGTAACCAATAGTCAAGCTTTCCTCCTGTTGGTATATGTCAAACTCTAGTTGGAAAATTGTTTTCTGTCCATGGAATGTAAACGTTTTCATCATGTTATCTATTGGAATGCTAATATATTCTCCAAGGGAAAGGTTCATTTCCAATCAGTTTTGAACCACTGACAGAGCCTCATCCATAGAAACTCTTATGAACCGGCTTACCAGCCAATTGCTATAGATGAGAGACACTTGTCAACAAAGTGTGCTGAGGTCCTAACATATGATGAGGAATTTCTATTTGGGATTTGTGATAGTTTCCTCTCAGATTTTATGGACAAATCTACCTTGCTATAGCTGTCATCCTCAACTAGACATATTGTGAGTTCAATTCCTGGTCCTGGAAAACATGGGCATTAGAGAACAATCTATCCACAAAGATTAAATAAAGGGTTCAGTTAGAAATTCCCTGAAGGTTACCTGGGCCAACAAGAACCTGATGATTTCCAAAGACCACAACAGTCAAAATGGTATGATAACAAGAATGATGAGAACAATAATCCATATATAAATAATGTAAATAAGTCTCTATAGTCAGGGACTGAAGAATTCCAAGGATTTATAAACTTAAAAACATGGCATGAAAAAACTGATAACCTATCATACAGTTAAAGAATACAAATAAAATAAAAAATAAAAACAAAAGTTTAAATTGTATAAGTGTGAAAAATTCCAAACTATTTTTAAAACAATATTGGTAAAGCAGTAAGTGGTTACTTCTGTCTTTTCAAAAATTCTGTGTTACAAACAAGTACCCAAAATAAACCTACTGCAGAACTAAATTGGAAGCTAATCCCTAAAATAAATTATATTACTATTACTCAGTAAAATCTAACTCAATTCTAACAAAAAGAGTAACTTAATTTGTTTTACATGAACACAGAGTTTAATATATCAAAGAAAATATTTTCCTAATAATTAAAAAAATTCTCAAAAAGCTAAGTGTTTTGAGAAATGAATAAAAAACTTCTGATGAAGTTCAATTTACAGTTGCTTTTTATAGTAAAATGATAAACACATTTACACATGTTACTGATGACAATGGATTACATCTTTTAGGTGCTGCCTTGTTGGACATTTCAATAAATTCTATTTATAATTTGGTGAAATTTGCTTTATTTATATAAACAAAAAATACAAAACATTTAACAACTTTTTTCAAAGGTCTATGTACTAAGGCTAAATCTTCTTTCTATGAACATTTGGAAGCAAAACTAGTTTTCCACCTAAAAGATCTGTAAACTGTTGTGGCAACTGAAACTGTAAATGAGGAATTAGACAGGCTAGGACAGTTAGGAAAATTTGTCTCACCTATAAATTCATAATCTAGAGCTGCACCATTAGGGTGAAACAGAAGAAGCAACAATAAATTATGTTTGTGTCGTGATTTTTTGACAAGTCTAAATATTATTTAAATACTAAGTATTATAGAACCACAGGTATCAACAGCAGAAGTGTTTACTCGGATAAATATTGATAAAATTTTCTTTAAAAAGATTTTTAGACACTTACTTCCAAGTTGAAGAAAATCACAAACATTTATTAACAAGAAAGATACTGAGGGTTTTACAAATACAGTCAACTGCTATTTGTTGTTAAATGTGCACTAAGAACAGATAATGTATGCAATATTGGCAGATGTTTTTGTAGTTGCTTATTTGATTTACATTATAATCATAAGTAGAACTGTTTAAGAGCATGTAGAAAACCTGGAAATTCTTAAATGAATACAAGAATTTGTATTTAGTATACAAGTAGAAAAGTGCAAATTCTTTCAGATCTTTTTCTATGCTCCTTTGTCTGCTTATAATAATTGTAAACATGTCCTTAAGAGTAAGTCTTCTATCCCTCCTCTCTTCATTTAATTTGAAGCGTTAACATCTTCTGCAGAAGCAGAATGTTTTGCTCATAGATTCTTTTCATTTCTGCTCTTGACTCACCTGAAGTATTTTTGCCTGAACTGAGTTTTGTAATAACTCTTTCCATGGTTTCTACTATCATCTCTAAGCTGCATCCTCACAAAGCATGTGGACATGATAGTAACTCTGTAATAGTCCTTAAAAATGTTCTAACTGATTCCTGTTCTATCTAAACACTACAATAAATGCAGTTAAAATGGCACAATAAATTCTATGCTGACAGTTTCTTCTCTTGCACTTTCCCTTATGGAAGTCTCTTCTGGTTTCTTGCTTTCCAGTCAACTTTGATGTTCAAATTTTTCAATGCAATGTCAGTTGTCTTCTTTTGTCTTAATGTTTTTTTTTCTCATATTCTCTCAGACTCATTAACCACTTTACACCTTAATGGCTTTATTGTTTGGGGATGAAATGATTAAAAAAAGATCAACATAAAAGGTTAAATTATAGACAAAAATGGATACTAAAGTGATCTGGAAAAATTAAATGCAAAAATAAATAAGCCAGCTCCCACAAACATTGAAATGTTGAAGTCTTTTCTGGAGCTGTTAAGAATTATAATCTACATGTGCAAAAAAATGCTTGAGTTATGTGCAATATTTGATTTACTAGTAAAAAAAATATTCAATTTGGAATCTGTCAGTTGATTACCAAAGGTGTTCTTAAAGTTTAGAGAATAAAAAATAAGGAATTAATAAAATCAGTTTTTATTGAAATGTCAGTTTGTTAAAATAATAAGTATTAAAGATAGCTTCATAATATTTTACATAAATTAATCAAAATCTAAAAAGATAAAACTGAAAATAAGAAAAATAAAATTTAAGATCTTATTAGAGGTACAACATTTTATTGTAGTGATAAAAACCAACATCATAAAAAAAGAAAAACCACAACTACAGTAGTTGGTACCAAATTAGGAGCACAAAAAGAAGAAAAAAGAGAGAAATAAAAAGAAATGGGATGAGCTTAACGTGATTAATATGCCTCATTTGTCAGAGCTTGATCAAGGTAAATAAATAAAATTACTGTGCAAACTGACTAAAAGGGAACATGAAAAAGAAAATACCCATGTTTCAATAATATACTGAGATGAGTATATTTTTTAATAAACAAATCACATTGACTATACAATAATCCTCCTTTTTATACAGGGAAAGTTGTTTTGCATTGGCATTAGTTAGCTGACTGGCATTAGCAGACAATCTTTTCTCATAAATCCCATGAATATTTTAGTCATTGCAGGTTCTAAAGGGCTACCATTGATATCCTGTCAATCTGCCTGTACATCACATTGTTGAACCTAAACTCAATAAATGTGGTGGAAAACTTAATAAGCTCAATAAAGACAGATTCAGAAATATCAGAAGAAAGATGACTATGATAATAACATTGGTACAGATGTCTATGATTTCCTGAAGTGGAATAAAAGTAAATAGATTACTGATGTCAAAAGAACACATTATCATCAGACTTAAAAGGAAAATTCTGTTTGTAATTAGCAAATGTATACAAACCCTTGAAGAGAGTATTTTGAATACAGGTTGTTAACTATGCTGACTCTTGTAATCCTACCAAGGATTGAACTCATCATCCTTGGCTAACAAACTTCTGATGATATTAGACACCTACTCATCAGCTTAATGGATGTGTCCTAAGCAGAAGCAGGCTTATCACCCATCCTGCCAAAGTAGATTTAACCTTTAGGCATTATTTTAGTTTATTGAAATTTCTCCTCAAGAGATTTTTCTATTGTCTGGTGAAATGCTGTCACTCAGTTTATTGATCAAAATCCTGTTTTATTCAGCCAACCATTTTGCCAACTTATGTTGGACTGAGGCAATCATCAATAAAATTAGTCAAATTCGGACAGTGTCCTTAACCCATATAGCCAGTGCCAGAAAGAACCAACTGGTCTGATGATTTCATAAATGTTTATCAAGTGTACATTTTCTCTCACTAATATGAGCAGATGTTTTTGAAAATTAAGCCCAATACTTTTAGCTTTGTCAATAGACTCAACCAGAATTAATTTAATGAATTTCTTTGCACCACTTAGTATAACATCACCTTATTACCATCAGGTTTTAAAATCACCACCTCTAGCCTTTTATCAGGATTAGTAATCATGATAGATTTGTTATGAGAAAAATTTTTAGCATCCAAACCTGTTTGATTTGTCATGAGAAATCAGTGATCAATGAGAGTACCAGAAAAAAGCATGGGCCAAATCATTCAGTTTAGCCCTAAGTGCACTCATTTTATCTGCTGAATGAGCTGAGAAAAATAAACTCTTCAAATTCAGAAAATATAACATCCCATTTTACTGAAACAGGTGGAATAAAGAACTCAATTCCATATGAAAAAGATGTAACTTGATAATTAGAAAGATTGAATACAAATTTATTCTTTGTAACTTCAACACTACCTATTAAAATCAGAAAGCAGTCTTTTTGGTGGATTTTTTGTAGTTCTTACTTTGCTAAATTGTCTGAGTGTGGTTTACCACACTTGGACAATTTAGAAAAGTTAAGAACAATAAACTGAATATTGTCAAGTATGACAAAAATTCCTTTACCTTTGAATTTATTGATTCTGTTGGTCAACTTCAGAATATAGAATTTGTTTGTTACATAAAAAAATTCTTTTTAAATTTGACAATATTTTTTCGTTCTTTTGACATCAGAAATCTAATTAATACAATAAATAAATAGATACAAGAATGAAACAAATAGAATAAGAAAAAAATGGAAGGGAAAATACTAAACAATTAACTTAATTTAATTAAAAAAAAATACTTAGCTCTAGAAAATTGGAATTTAAATTAATGAAGCCAAACAGCATAGACAATGTGTTAAAATGTGAAAAAAGCAAAAAATCACAATCATACAATCAAAAGCACTACAGAAGAAATGCCCTTGTCTCAAAAAATACTTTGAATTACATTTCAACCCCGACTAAACTAAAGATGCCTGCAGAAATAGAACATATACCAATATAATCATTACAAAGTCGAACTAAACATAAACAATAATGAACATACAAGTGAGGAAATTAAGTAAGCTATGTCAAATAAAATGTTAGGAAGGAATCCTCATCAATACCAGAAAAAGCAATAACAGCTACTGGACTTGAGAAACCTATTTTCCTGAAAAATTATTTTAAGAGAAAGATTTTATAAATTTCAACCAACAGTAGTACTGGCTGCCTGATCAATGAATGTCAAATGTTTCCTTATTAGGAAACAGTTAATATCATCATTACCAGTTACTTGTATTCCGCTTCAAATAATAATAGTACTATGCTAATATTGTAGTCATCTTTCTTCCCCTTGTATTCCTGAAACTGCTTTGTTATTAAGTTTGCCATAAATCTTAGATTAAGCAGTGCAATTTTTCACTCAATTTTCACATTATGCTCTCTTCTCACCTTATGTTGAAATTAATTGAAAAAGACGTCTTGCCTATCTTTAAAACTAGATTTGTAATATATAAATTTAAATGTCAGTGTGAAGCTGACTATATGGTTCAGACCACTCAACTTCTAGAGAAGTGAATTACTCAACATGTTATGTTGTTTATTAGAAAAGGTTGACTGGATAATTTGCATAAGTAAGCTGATACATCCAGGTTTGCAATTGCTGAATATCTTTTAAAAAAAGCAAGTGTGCAGCATCCTTCTATGAGGACATGCTCTTACTACCATCTAAAATTCTTGAAAACTATTTCTATTAAATCAAAACAACTTTCCCTGTGCAAACAGAAGGATTGCTTGTATGGACAATGTATATTCATCTCAAAATATGAAAATGTGTATTTTCTTTTAGTCAGTTTGCACAGTAATTTTGTTTATTTACCTCACTTGAGCTCTGATGAACGAGGCACATTAACCAGTTAGCTCATTCCATATCATTTTCTTTCTCCATTTTTTACTTCTTTTTATGCTCCAATTTTAGTACCAACTACTGTAGTTGTTTTTCTTTTTTTTATTATATTCACTTTTTATCACTGTAATGAAAATACAATTGATACAATAAAATAATACAAGATTTAAAAAAAAAATAGGTGAAATTTGGTTCATTATTTGTAAGAGGCACTAAGATAATAAAAGATTAACTCAGAGATGAATAGATTTTTAATATAAAGTTTATTAATAATACAATAATAATATTAATACAATAACAAAAGATGTTTTATATTATTCTATAAAGTAATCTCTGAATAGAAAATAATTAGTATAAAAAAATGTAGCCTGTTTTTCTTAAGAGAGAAGAAACTTAAAATTGAAATTTACCTGAAACCAATGTTCAGCAATTTCCCATGATGCAGTACAAACATCTCCAGCAGAAAATACATTTTGAATATTGGTCTGCATTTTTGAATTGACTTTGATTCCACCATCTTCAGCAAGATCAAACTAATAGGTTTAATCAAAAAGAATAATGCATTTTGGTTAAGTTCAAAATGTGTCAAATTTACAGAAATCATGTCAGCTGATAAAGAATTCAAAACATCTAGATATAAGCTGATAATCCTCTTCATAAATACACTGACAGAAAATAAAATTGCAACACCCTGAATATGTGTTTCAATTTACTCAGGATTAAATGTACCGTTAATATAAACGGATTACAGTAACTGACCACATCAATATGTGCACATGTTCCAAAATAAAGTGTGCATTATTTAAAATCACTATTAATATACTGTATACCTTTCTAATGTGTTTGCAATTTATGAAGACCTGTATGATTATACAGATGACAGTTATTATCATATATCATGTAATTCTGTGCTTCTTTCATCAATTGATACAATACAGCAAGAGAGGTGGGCTAATTGAATTAGACATTATCCTTGCATGTTCAATATTGGCACTCCTACAGAGTACATTTATTCTGGTCTATGTTGCACTTACAATATGTTAATCATTGTGAGCATCTACAGGAATGTTCATTTGACCACTGTTGGCAACATCAAAGCATTACCAATGCTTATTGAAGGCCTATAATCTAATGCTTCTTAAACTGCTCTAATTGCACAAATGAAACATGTGTATGGCTTTGTGGCAGGTGTCACTGCAAATTTGAATATGTGATGGGTCAGAGTTAATTTTATCTTTTTCTTGTTTTTTTGCTTATATTTTTTTCTTATGTTATCTTGATTAAACTTCAATTTAGTATGACTCTATATTTTCTATAATTACATTTTATGAACCTCAATGATTGTGATATAATGGGATCATACAGAACCAGCCTTGCAAAATGAATAATAGGTTTAAATAAAAAAATTAAAAAAACACTCATTACAATAAATGCTGCTTTAATATAAAAGAAGTCAAATTTTACTACTGTTATATAATTTTTAGTATAATAAAATATTCAAAGATGGTGTAACACCTCAATTCTTTAGGAATCTTTTTAAAGAATTTAATAAGGAGGTGCATAAAATTAATAGTGATTATTTAAATTTTATCTAAACTGATATAAACATTTAATGTAGTCAATTTTCAAAGGATAAAATTAAACAGACTTACAGAATTTCCTTGTAATAAGACATCAGTGTTGGGTATGACACCAGTGGCACTCACTAGAAAATCACACCCATAGATTTTTCCATTTGATAGGACAACATATATCGGCCAATTACCTAAAAATAAACAGTAATGATTAAATTCAGTTTGGCCATACATAATATTTTTAGTAAGTGATGTAAAATACATAATGCTAAAAATCCTATTTTAATGTTAACAAATTTGTGGCATTTACAAATGAAAATTATACAGCAAATACATTATCTCAGAAAAATCTAAAGTCTGCAAATAACATTGAAGATCTTTTTATTTATTTTAGTTTTAATGAAAATAACTTTCAAACAAATCATGGCAACAAGTAACTTGTTACACAAAAAAACATTTTCCCCAATAAATATTTTATGTGCTGTTGATATTAATTTCATTTTCTTTATCCTTAACTTAATTGGAACATATTTGCACTGAGCAGTTGCATAAAAATTCATATTATTAAAAAAATTAATGTAAAGTTATACAAAAATAATTAAAGGGTAAATAAAAAAATAATACAATAGGTTTTTATTTATTACACTTTTTTTTGAGGGGCAAGTTTAAAAAAAACATTTGTTAAAAGAAGATGTATTCTTTAAGTAAAAAAAAAAAAAAAAAACAGCTAAAAACAGCTATAATGAAATCAGACAGTAAAAAATGGCTTGAATAAAACTGTATACAACTTTGTATATGTGAAACTTAAAATGATGTGAAAAAAACGCCAAAATGACGCCTCACAGTTTATAATAAGGATATATGTATAAAATTTGGTTTTCAAAACTTGTAAAAAAAGAGGATCAAGTTTGATGGTCTGGATGTTCATCAAAATAAGGTTTGCAAACAGGTGTGGTTTAGAGAAATACTTTTTTAACCCATGGGGAAAGTGAATTGCGACCAAAGTATCAAATTTCTGATTCAAATCTAGAGCTAATATGAAGCTATTTAAGAAATCTGGTGTAGTGACCTTAAAGATAGTATCAGCAGCAGCTCTAAAATAAAATTCATATCAGCAGTAGCTGAAATGTAATAGCAGTAGCAGCTCTAAATAAAACTTAGCAGCAGCAGCGCTCAAATATAAAACCACATTAACCCTAAAGTAATTCTCTTCTGGGTTCCTTCTTTCAAATTGCTGACATGAATATTCTATGCTGAAGCTACAGGGGCTGTGAATGAACATTTTGTTGTATATACAATGTACATCTAACAAAACACTTGAAACTTTACTTTTGTTAATTTTGTTTTAATAAATGTTATCCTTGCATTGCAAATCAATTGGTTTGTCATTTTCTGCATGTATACTTTTCACCACCATTATTCCATGTGCTATAAAATATTTCCATAAACCTTATGCATTTAATTATTGAAGTAGCTAATCACTAAACTGGTTTGTTTGATATACAGATGGACTTTGGCTTTCACAGGCAAAAGTTACTGACAGTTGCTGGGAACTGAACTTAAATGAAGAAGAAGAGTGGGAAAAGTGGGGTATTGACATTCACAAGGATACCGACATTGACTACAACAAAAAGAAAGAAGCTGAAAGAAAAAGAAGAAGCAGAAAGGAGAAGTTTCAATTATCTTTCTACAGTTGTTTGTGAAAGCTTGTTACATAATTAGAGGTATTAACCCCAATTTCGAACTTTTAATGAAAATATGAGATTTATCTCATCTCAGCTTGTAAAACTGAATTGTTGTCTAAACAAACTAGAAATGAAGTGATATCAGTGAATAGTCACCCTTCTCAACTCCTTTTGTCAACTGAATGAATCAAAGTAAGTCAACATGTTATTGATAATAATTATAATTGTTTTTATGAGCCCAATAGAATTGCAATTAGAATTTATCTTGGAAAATTTTGTGCAAGTTTGTTTTGTAAATTTTGTAATCTTGTGCTATTATTATTTTTTATATCTTAATAAATATAAATTTCTTTCAGATTTCACACCGGATTAAGTCTCATGGTTTTTCATTTGCATTCTTTATAATACTTGGTACAAGAGATTTGATGTTTATTGTTCTTCTCCTCTCCCCCACAAAAAATCCTTTTAGTTGTAGTGACACTAACATTAAAAAATAATGTAAGAAACATTCAGCTCAAATATCAACAAATTAGTGAAAAAAAAGTATTATTGTTCACACAGAATTGATAATTCTAAAAAACTGCTGGCAATAATCAGCAATTTTATTAATGTCAGGGAAGAGAAATTATTATTATTACTATTATGTGCTTTTACATTGAAACTATTATTCTCATTTTGGTTGTTATGCTCTACAGCCTATTTTGTATTTTGTGTTGCTTGTCCATTTTTTTCAGTGAATTTGATTGTATGACTTTTCCACACCACCCAACCTAGATTGAACTCACAATTATCACACAGGTATGGCCTTTTCAAAATTCAGAAAGATATTACATTGAGATCCATAGATAGTTGTTGAGTCTCAGTTTGACACTTGTTGAGCAGATTCTTCATAAGAATAATCAACTCACTAATAGATAAGTTTCTGTCCTATTTGAAGAACTCAGACCACTTTGTGGAAATCATTAGAGATGTTTCCATTCATATCAATCAGATAGTGACTTTGGACATTGTGAGTCTATTCACCAACATTCCTACAGCTCCATTGGTGTTTCAACATATATCAGTGAGAAGTCTTAGCTATTGGATCACCATTATCTCCAGTAATGGCAAACATATGCATGGAATACTACGAGAGAATTGCTATATGAGCATCACAACTAAACTTAACCATGTTATTTATATATATAGATTACAACTTCATACACTGGTCACACTAGGAAGATATGCAAGCTTTGATGGACTATGGGAATTCAATAGTTTTTGAATACTATTTACACATTTGGACCATTGTCTTTATTGCCATATTCACTACATTTAGGCCATTGTATATTTCAGCCTTTTCCAGGTGATATATGTTGGCTATATATAGTGCTCGGTTCAAATTCCAATGTATATAACCTAAAGAAGGCCAGCATGTACAACAGCCAAAACTCAGTGAATAAAGATGAGGACAACAGTTTTAACAATGTAAGTAGTGTAAATAATTAAAATACCTCATCTTAGAAATACAGACTGGCAGTTTTGGGATGAATTAATAATTCATACAGAGTATGAATTCAAGAAAACTGTATATCGTAAACCAGACATTATCTGAACTTCAATTCTCACTATCTATATAGTGTCTAGAAAGGAATGGTCTATTGTCTATAACCCATACACATGCCAACAGATGATCAGCATTAGAAACATCTTTCAAAGTAACAACTACTCCTCAAGCATACCATTATCTAAAAGGACTGAAGATGAATTTCTTAGTCTGGATATAAAGGTATATAATAATAATTTTATTGTTAGCATATAAGTGTTTTAATATTTTTTTTACAATTTTTAAAAAAGGCATTGAATGAAAAAATTTTGTAGAAGTTAGAAAATGATTGCCATTGTGATGTGTCATCAGTTTTTGTCTACCCTGAGCTTGTTCTTGTTCCACTGAACTGGGGCAGGGTCCACCCCACAGCATTCCTCACAACCTTGTATGGCCGACCTAACCATCGCTTTTATCACTGAAGGACATACTTTCTGGACAAAGTAAGTCGAACATTGAATGCCAGGATGACCACTCTTGCTATTGTATGGCATGGATTTGTTCGATATTCAGCTGGCTCGTAACAGCCACACACGTCAATGGCTCTGATCCCTGTTTCAACATGTCAAGCCATCTTTTTGGTATTCTCGTCAACTTATCAGCCAGGTTCCTCCAGGTTTCAGTGTGACGTCAACTACCAAACCATATTCTTCGATTAGCTACTGTAGGTTAGCCAGTCTCCTGCACACTAGCATCTCGCTCGCAGCTTTCGTCCTCACTTGGCTCTTGCCTGTCAGAATATTCTGCAGCCATTGGTACACACATACCGAGTCTGTGTATAGGTGTACCACCCTGGCCCATCACTGTAATGCCAGATTTATACCTTTCACCGTGGCATCCAATTTGGCCAGGTTTCTATGTTGTGCATCATTTCTTAGTTCAAGCCAGCATGCATCTTCCAGTACAACTCCCCAATTTTCCAGCATCACACCTATTGCCAGGGAGATTGCATCAACCTATGTGTTGACTTCTCCAGTCACGCACCAATCTCCCTGAATGGGGTCATCTTGGTGCACTCTAGTCAGCGTATCAATGATCATCTGTGTAAGAGGGGCGTCTTTTATAATGTCATGCCACCCATCTTGCTTGCTCATCTTTTTATTATTCCTGTGGCTGCACAGAGCCACCTGCATACGGAAAAGTGTCCCACTAACTTCCCACATACGGAAAATACTGAGCTTTGCGTTAGCATAATGGGAGTTCCGGAACTGAGCTCCCTTGCTTCCACTGCAATGTGTTGTGCTCCCCGCAGACTTTAAGCCCAAGCACATCAGCCGCATCCCTCAATTGAATAGGGCAATTAACAAGCCGAAAGATTCTAATCTGCGCCTGACTTCATTTGCCAAAAGTATGTCCTCATTTACATATATATCATTGACATATGCCGACGCAGCTCTTTACATCAGCTCATCCTGATCTAGCACAGTCTTAATGATTGATTTCGTAATTAGGTGACCCACATTAAGACCAAACCACAGACACGTCAAGCAGTACCTCATTCCTTTGACGATAATTGTTTGGAAAGGCCATAACATCTCATGGATTTGTATTTGAAGATACGCAGTGCCACCTTAGCTCCTTGCTGACACCATTCCCTCATTTATTTGGCACACATATCTGCATCCGCTGTAAAGGCATCTATGTATTGATTTATCTCCCTATAGTCCACTACTGACCGTACCTTAGCCTTGGTGGCTTGTGCAACTGCCATTAAGGGAATTAATCCTCTTGGGGGCCCCAATCAGTCTTGCAGATATGGTATCAGCCAGCCATTCATGCTCCACATATCCAGTTTGCTCTCGTAGGCAGCTCTGTTCTTATTCAACACCGTATATTCCACAACAGTGTTGTGTAATTGATCTGGTGCTTTATTTCCTATCCACTTCCATTCCGCTGTCCAAGTCTTTGTTCCTTGGTCATA